AGATCTCATTATAACAGCAGGAAAAAAGCACTCATGACAGGAGGCGCTGCGACATTAGTCTCTGCTCCGCTGTCCATGTCCCCCCTGCCGTCACCCCTGTCACTGCTGATTCACCGAAGGACATGTGGAACAGCAGCAGTCGGAGCAGCAAAGGAGTGGAGGAGACTCGGTGACATTTGTCCGTGCCCCCCCAGCTCCCCCTCCTTTCTCTTCCAAATCACTCAGAGGGATGCTGGGAGTTGGACTAAGGCTTGCAGCCTACTGTCCATCACGGAGAGGACAGTGGGCTGCAGCAAAAAGAGCAAAAGCAGCAGCAGCAGCAGCAGCAGTAGCAACAACCTGGATTCCGAGAGACGCCATGGCATTCGTCTCTTCCCCACCGTCCATGTCCATGTGTCTGTAATTGTTGAATCAGTCGAGAAAAAGCAAGGAGTCTCGAGGACTGTGACAAGGCTGACAGCTTTTCCCTGAAAAGGGACAGCGTCGTCATTCTCTTCAGCAGCAGCGGCAGAAGAAGAAATAGCAGCGAAATCAACATTCCTCACTTACATTTTAATTGTTGTTGTTTTTTTTTGTTTTTTTTTTCCCTGTTTATGATTTTCTGTCATGCTATTGTCTCCTGTCTCCTATTGTCTATTGTGCTGTATCGTTGATGGTGACCTTCAGAGCCCTGAAAGGTTCCTGTGTTAAGATGTTAAGAATCTTTCAAAGGTTTACCAACTGAGAACATTTTAAATCTTAGATGCAATAAGATGAGACAAAAAAATCTTTCAAAGGTTTACCAACTGAGAACATTTTAAATCTTAGAAGCAATAAGATGAGACCAAAAAAAAATACCATTTAAAAAAAAATATTTTTTTCATATAAATACTCACTTATTTAATTTAAGGACAACAAAATGCTCCAAAAAGCTAGGACAAGGGCAACGAGACTGGAGCAAAAGGTGAAGGTCCGTATGTTAGAAAAGAAGTATCCTTGAATTAGTCTTTATTTATTTTATTATTATTAATATTATTATTATTGTTATTATTATTATTATAATTATCATCTGTTCCAGTGTAGCAGTTAGCATGCCTGCCTGGAGACTCCTGGATTCGATTCCCAGAGGAACCACCTCCTTAGCGCCTGCAGGGGGCAGCCTGTTGTAGCAGTTCAACTTATTATTATTATTATTATTATTATTACCAGCATGGTTGAGGTTTACAACTTTGTGAACCTTCTTTCTCAAAGTACAGTTGCAAGGAATTTGAGGATTTCTTTTTGTGCGTTCTACAGCGCAATCAAGGTATGCTAACAAATTTGGAAGCAAAGCTATAAACAAGTACCAAATGGCTGTGAACGCCACTCTCGCAGACAGCGCTGGATTCAAAACTTCTAGTTACATACTCCGACCATAAATGGACTATAAACATTATTCAATACAAGAAAGATCTGGCCATATCTAACGCAACAGGCTAGCTAGTACCTCTCTTGCCTCGACTACTGCAATACCCTTCTAGCAGGCCTCCCAGCATGTGCTACAAAACCACTAAGCCTAAAAGTGATTCCGTAGTGTAGCCGTTTTAGCACGCCAGCCTTGCGAGCAAAGAGCAGAGAGTCCTGGGTTTAATTCCCAGCGGGGACCACCTAATGACACCCACCCCACTTAAGTAAGTGGCTTTGGACAACAGCGTCTGCTAAATGCGTGAATGTAAATGTCACCCCTCGGTTCACTGAGCTACATGGGTTTCCCCATAGCTTCCCGCAGGAAAATCCAAATCACTCATGGTAGCCTAGCATGTACTTAATGGATCTGCTCCGATCTACTTAAGTACCCTGATAAAGGCTAATGTTATGTTATGTCACGACCGTTCGTCCGGGGAATGTCGTCTGGCAGTCCCAACACCTCGTACGAAACAATCCTCTTCTCACGGACTGTTCCACGCGGCAGGAATGAGCTACCTAGCGCCCCGCTTTCCTAACTAGCGGAGTTCCTCTTTGTAGCTTCGTTGTAAATCCTCCTTTTGTAAATGCTTTGGATAAACTGTCTGAAAACATATTACAAATGTGTTGCAGGCTTCAAAAGAAGTAGGGTTGCTGATATTAACTTTTGGCTAATATATGATGTGCCGATATTGTCGACAAAAAAAATTCGTGATATTAACTTTTGGCTAATATATGATACGGCAATATTGTCCAAAAAATTTTCCGATTCTGATATCAACCGATATCCATAAAGCATGGCAATGGTGGTTAAGGAAGTTTGTCAAGGTTAATGAAAAATTCTCAATTATTTTTTGCCAAGCCCCCCCCCTAGAGGACAGAAGTGTTATCACTCCCCTTTTGAACTCGTAATATTTATTGATGTATCTGTACAAACCATCGTATCGAGTTGCTGGCACCAGCACGAGAAACCCAGGAAAAAACAGTAACGATTCTTACAGATATTACATAATTATGCTCATCATATCGGGTTAAAAATATTGGTCGGCCGATATTAACTTATCCGTTACAGGGTCTCGATGACCGCCACCCAAATCACACTGCACCGTACCAACCCCCCAAACCTTCCTGTTGGTGGTGAGTCCACTGGAAGGTACCAACCGCCATGACCGGGATTTGATCTTGCCCAGGAGGTGAACCCTGGGGTTCCACACCAATGACAGAGACATTGCCTCTGGGCCAAAAGCGCAAACCTTCATTGGAAGTGTTGTTGTTAAATAAGTTCAATCCCCTCCAGGTTCCTGTCACTCTTCAAAGCAGAGTTTTAACATAACATATACTATTTTATCTATCAAAGAAAATGTTTGAATCTTGATACCGAGATCAGAACATTCCAGCGCAGCTGTTCGTTACCGCACTGACACCGAGACTCTCAGTTAGACTCTCAGTTCGGTGCCCGTTATTAAGCCCCAGTCCGAGTTAAGGCGAGTAAATCAACGTTAGAGCCACAAAGTGTTTGTCACGTGCCATTAGACACAGGACAGCATTACAAAAAAGTGTTTGGGGCAGAAAATGCTGACTAACCAAGGAAACAAACAAACAATCTGTCCTTTCACTCAGAGGACAGTGGGCGGAGCTGAACTGGAATAAACCAACCTGACATTTAAGTCGACGGGAGAAACGCTCCGTCGCTCCCATACAACGGAGACACTGTCAGAGTTTCTTTTTTTTATTTCACTGTCAGCACTTTACATCGCAGACACCGTCACTGACCAGAAAACGGTCGCGTGTGTTTATGTGAAGAAGAGCCGCCGAGTGAAAACACCTCGTACCTCAGCGGTCTGCCTAAAGTCGTTACAATCCTAAAAGGTTCCCATACTGGGAAAA